CCTCGAACTGGAACTATTGAAGAAAAGTCATTGCTCTAAAATAGGGTTTACGACACCACATGAAACTTCAAACTAAAGGTCTACAATTCGGTCTCTCAACGGAAAAATTGTGGGCGTAACAGAAGGTCTTAAGTGGACTAATGCTACAAGCAGCAAGTCCATTAACATTGTAGTGGATAGCCAAGTGAAAATTAAGGCCATGCGTAATGCCAATACTAATTCACATTGCGTTAGGTTATGCAAGAACAATAAAGAGACTTTCAGCAGGAAATGCAGTTAATATTAAATGGGTACCTGTTCATATAGGAGCAGAAGGAAATGAAAAAGACGAGTTGATCCACTCAAAAGCAGTTAGCAACACAATCTGCTTAAGCTGCCCCAGACCATTCAGCTGCTTCAAGAGTTGATTAAAGCAGTGGATACTAGAGGAACAGCTTAGTTCTTGGAACATAAGCAGCACAGTGCACACCACAAAGTTACTTTGGGGTAGTTTTGATGATAGATAGACCAAAAAACTTCCACTTTTAAGCAAAAAGGAGATTGGCAATATTGTAAGAGTCATCACAGTGTAAATAATTTTAAATTCCACCTTCAGAAATGGAGAGAAATGGATTTCACGGTATACAGAGCATGCTAGGAAAATGTTGAGATGCTGGAAGATTATCTATTCGAATGCCCAGCCTTCAGCCGGATGTGAAGGAACATATTCCTTGGCTCCCAGTACTCTAACTAACATTGAACTTCTGGGTTGGAAAAATAAAAATGTTATATTTAATTGCTTGCTGCGTGAAAACCACAGCACACTGCAAATGCATATTTGTTTTCCCGTTGGGCATAGTCTTTCGGCTTTAAATGCTCAAACCACGAAATTCTGCTGTGATTTGTTATCCGACTGTTTAACTTAAGCTGATATTTTACCATGTTGATACACATATACCTGAGCACTTCCTTCGGAATTGTACTCTATATTGAAACTTATACATTTAACGTCAAAAGTAAAGTCAGATTCACCAGCTAGCTACTATACTAAACATAATCTGTAGTAGAGTAAAAGTAAATAAAGTTTATGAAAAAAGCAAAGGTTCCGGCCGAATAAAAGAGGCAATGCTTAAGGAAAGTGGTGAAAAGTTCTAACAAAAGTTTTCGCCGGAAAAAATATTCACCTTATCGAAACTCAAGATAAAGTTAATCAAAAAGAAAATGTTATGTTCAATAAATTTTCCTTTGCAGAAGCCGCAGCAAAGTCACCTGTTAATAATTTTCCGTCTCCAAAGCGAAATATCGCAAACTGGCGTTAAAACAATTATTACAGAAAAATCAAAGCGTGCAACCCTTTCCTGTGAAAAGTCACAGAAATGCTGAGTAACCCTCTAGGCCCCAGTAGTGTGTTAAAAATTCACTTTTTGTGAAAACTTCGCGGTTTCAATCACTTTGACTGCTCAAAGTACAATTAACAAAATAAGCCTTGCTTTCGCCCCTTCTTTCCCTTCTGTAAATTTCAAAGCTTTGACTTTTGTTATGCGCCAACACGCTACTCCCCCTCTCACCGTTAGGGCAAGCACAACTTTCGTTTGCGGCTCATTTTCGGTTTTTTTTTATTATTTGCCATGTTTCGTTACTCATACGCCCCGTCATACGCAATACATGGTCGGATTGCGTTACAATTACTTGCGTGTGGATGTGAGCAAAACTCCCGCACAAAAGCAGGTACATATGTGCATGCATGCTAAATAATTCACACGTATGTTTTATTGGTAATGTACATACATAATTTTTTTTTTTTTTTTTTTTTTTTTTTTGAAATTTGTGAAAAGTTTCAACAAAATGTCGTTTTTTGTACTTTTATTACCTGTCAACGAAATTTTATTTTTATTTGTCGCTGGGTAAAAGAATTGTGGTTAAAGTGTGCGAGTTCTATTACCAGCGATTGAGTTAAAATGTGTGTGGGGAAAAAGCGTGCAAAGCAAAAGTTGTACAACTGTTTTCACTTTATGTTGAGTTGACAAGTCAAAAATTGCTAGAGGGAAGCTGTTGCTGAGTGTATAAGCTTAATTCGCATAAATTGCAGAATTGTCAGACAACTTATGCGGTGTGTCGGAATAATGTGGTTGGTATGTGTTGCTCAGGTGCGAACTCTGTTAAGTATCAGTGTCTTTGAATTCAGTTATCAATACAAAACATCGGGTAGTCGAAAAAGTATTTTCGTATTTTGTCAATAGATGTTTATTGCAGTCATATTCAAATTCAAATTCAAATTTATTTCACTTTTCTTATAATATATGTATTTACAGTGAGTAATGTATATAAGTTAAGAGTACAGGCGATTTTGCCTTTTCTACTTAAAAATTGTTTGAGAATGAGCTATGATATGTTGCTATTGGTAATATAGTTTTTGTAGGGAAAAAAAATTACAAAAAACCCTTG